TTAGCTTACATCTATACACCTTTCACCTTTTAAGACTAAAAAAAAAAAGTTTTCATTATTTTTAATTAAAATGCACAACAACAATAAAACAGTAAGATTCAACGACAGCTTACAAAACGTTATTTAAAAAAATGAATAAGATGAGGCATGGCCTACAGGCTGTATTAGGCTATATAATGACTAATAAATTACAGAACGTTTAGCAAACTCTGAGGAATCAAATTAAGAGAGCCTCCATAGCATAACGTACGGTGATGCAATGCTGCCACACACATATTATTTCCACTCAATTATGTCGTAATAACGACGTTACCTCGTTTTAACGACATCTTTTCTCGTTTCGTTAGAAAATCTCTTTATTTCTTTTTTGTTCCTATTTCGATTTGTTGTTAAATCAAACTTCAGTCATTCAAATAAAGAAATATTAAGCCCAGTTTTGATCTGATCATAGCCGAAACGAGTCATGGGTCTGAGTGCAGTTATTGGATAGCATATATATTGTAGACAGATTGGAGATTAATCCTAATAAACATGCCGCTACAATTAAAACCATTACATTAAAATACATTTAAAAGTGTATTTCAATCATTTCAGCAGCGTGCAGATCCTCGTTTATGTCAGACTGTGGCGACAGCAGCGCGGACAGTCGCTTAGCTCGCTCACATAATGTACCATATCTATAATAACGGGAGAACATGTCGTTTTTATGACATAATATGTCGTTATTACAAGAAAAAATATGTCGTTTTTACGAGAAAAGATGTGGTTTTAACGAGAAAACATCTAGTTATTACGAGAAAATATGTCGTTTTAACGAGAAAAGATGTCGTTTTAACGAGAAAAGATGTCGTTTTAACGAGAAAAGATGTCAGTTAAAACGACACAACATCTCGTTATTACGACATAATTGAGTGGGGGGAAATGTGTGTGGCAGCAATGCGTCACCGTAATAACGTGAGGTAAACAGCAAAGATAAGCTTTTCAAAATGAAAACAAAACAAAAAGAAAAGTAAAACTAAACTTTCGGCCGTTAACTTCTGCAATTAATAGTAAATATAACCAAAACAGGTCATTATAATCTTTATATGAATAATAAAATAAATATAAGGAAAACT